GGGCAACTCCAAAGATATTAAGGACAGTTCAGACGAAAACAAATTAAAACTTCTAACTCAAATATTGCACTGTTTCTTTCCATTAATAGCCCTTCTTTGGGGAAAAAAATCCATAATTCAATGAGGGTCCAGTTCTGGGCCACCCACCCCACTCTGGGCCCGGGACACCAGACCCGTTTGTCCCCCCCTATCAGCGGGCGTGCAAGGGGGTAAAAATACTCAGCAATGTATTTTAAAGTCAAAGTGAAGCTGGTAAATATGTAAATAAAAAAATGCTCCAGGGGAAAAAATATATATTGTAGCAGTGTATGTAGTGATATGGTCAGTAAAGACGAAGAGTGATTCTGCTTGTTTAAATGTCGGCGGTATTTCCACCGAGAGGATGGACGTGTGTCAGCTGCTGCGGCTTTAAATGTGTTTTGCATCCGGAGCAGCTGCTTCATGTCCTCCCAGACACACTGAGGCCACACCGACAGCAGCCCGCAGCTTCAGCGGTGTGTTTACAAGGAGTTTACAGGTAAACACACCTCATTACTGCGTCCACTTAGTGAAATCACAGCATTGACGCTATTTAGTGATCGACAGCGTTTCCTGTTAACACAGTCTGAGCTGTTAGCTGAACACTGCAGCTGTAGGCCGAAGAGACATAAGGAGGCGATTTGTGATTGATGTCATGTAGCTACAGCTATTGTTGGACATGGACGTTGAAATTATAGCGCATTACGTTTTTGTCTTGCTGTAGTTTAAGGAGTTATTCCTCAGAAGAAGAAAATCGCCACTTCAGCTTTAGCCGCGATGCTAAGGATATCCACTTAGAACTGACCGTTAGCTTTACATGACTGTCTTTGTTAAGGGCGAAGCTTAGCAGCAACATACCCACAGTTTATCTTTTAAAACGGACTTCACCTTTTACTGTAATTCCATGTATGTACACTTTGTTCAGCGATGAATTATGTTTTTAGCTTGACATGCTCGCCAACGATGCTAGCACCAGGAAACTACTCGAAGCTGTTACTGAACTGTATGTTGTTAGCTTTGGTGCTAGTGGACAGTATTTACAACAAAATGCTTCTTGTGGCTGGAAATAACAAAAGCAAGTAACAACAGACGGTAAGATATTATGAGAGCAATGTTAATGATGAGTTTTAACTATTCCCATGGGTTTAGTTACGTTTCTTCTTTAAAAAAAAAAAAAAAAAAAAGCCATACCCCAAATTATTCACGCTTTTTTTTTTTTTTTTTTTTTTTTTAAACAAACTACTGTTTCTAAACCATTGCTAGTGCTTTTGGTACTTTTTAGGTAGGTAGTTTTACTAAAAATAAAATGCGTTGTTAGTATCTCGAGCACAATGCCTCACTGACTTCTTGTCACTTGTGTCTTATTGTCCGTGAGAAGAAACCAGTTGGTCAAGTCAAAATCAAGTATGAGTTAAAATTTGGATGGCAGTAAAAATAAATAAATTGGACTTATCTGTATATAAATAGGCTCATCTGTGATTTAAAGTTTGTGCTGTGTGTCATAGTGAAGAACTGTATTATTTTCATTTAAGGAGTGACCACACCTGTGCACTCTGTTGAATTTTTACATAGAGATGTGACTGCCTGCCATCTGAAGTCCAGCAGTTAAGGTCAAAATGTAACAATTCATTTGATTGTGGGTTCAGAAGAGATGATAGAGTTTCTGCATTTGTCTGTTAAAGGTGCGCCGCCGCTGTCCGCTGGTTCACGATGGCCCAGAACCAAGTGATCCTGCAGTTCCGCTTTGCCACGTTTGGGGATTCGATGTTGCAGAAGATGAACCTCCTACGACACCAGAGACGCTTCTGTGACGTCACCGTGCGCATCAACCAGCTAGAGGTTCCCGGTCACAAGGTGGTGTTTGCTGCCGGTTCCTCTTTCTTGAGGGACCAGTTCATCCTTCAGCAGGACTCCAGGGAGGTCCAGATCTCTATGATCCAGGAGCCAGAAGTGGGCCGGCAGCTGTTGCTGTCCTGCTACACAGGCCAGCTGGAGTTTCCTGAGCTAGAGCTGGTGCATTACCTGACAGTGGCCAGCTTCCTTCAGATGGGCCACATTGTGGAGCAGTGCACTCAAGCCCTGAGCAAGTTCATCAAACCAACACGTCATCTGGAGGTGAATATGAGACGAGAGAAGAAGGAGGACAGTTTCCCCTCCCAGGCCCAGAGAGAGCAGGAGGTCTCTCAGGTGCGGACCGTCCACCAGGAGGAGGAGGATGAGGAGGAGGTGGTGGAGCAGGTTGAGGGTGAAAATAAGGGTGACAATGATGATGCTGAAGATGATGACGACGATGACGACGACGACGATGATGATGATGATGATGTGATTATACAGCCTAAGAGTCCTGTCCAGATTCTGGGCAGTCATCCAAGGCCGGGTATGGCAGAGAGTGACATCACCATAGTCAAGGTGGAGTCTGTATCTGATGTAGCAGAAAACTCTGTCACTGGTCACTTCTCCGCCAGCCCTCCTGCTGCGCTCCACTCCCCCGAGCCCCAGCACTCGCTCATTAATTCCACCGTGGACAGCCGCGGCAGTGAGATGGCGGCTCCACCCGGCATGACCAGATACCCGTTCAGCCCCCCTCCTCTGTCTCCCCCCGTAGAGAAGCACATCGGGTACCAGAGGAACTACGACAAACCTCTCCAGTGGTACCACCAGTGTCCCAAGTGCGCCCGGGTCTTCCGCCAGTTGGAGAACTACGCCAACCACCTCAAGATGCACAAGCTGTTCATGTGCCTTCTGTGTGGCAAGACGTTCACACAGAAGGGCAACCTGCACCGACACATGCGGGTCCACGCCGGCATCAAGCCCTTCCAGTGTAAAATCTGCGGTAAGACCTTCACCCAAAAGTGCTCGTTGTTGGATCACCTGAACCTGCACAGTGGGGATAAACCCCACCGCTGCAACTACTGTGACATGGTGTTCGCTCACAAGCCAGTTCTCCGCAAGCACCTCAAACAGATCCACGGGAAAAACAGCTTTGACAATGCAAATGAACGCAACCTGCATGATGGGACGCTTGACTTTGATTTTGGACGAATATGAAATTTGTAAAAAAAAAAAAAAAAAACAACAACAACAACAACAAAATTTTTAAGCATATTATTTGTGTGAGCAGACAGCAGTTACAATATTAAAATGGCCAGATGAGCGAAGACTTCGGCTGCTTTCCCAAAGCGTCAGCCTGAATGGTTTAACTGGAGGATATACACTAAGTGAAGTTTCCCTGGTCTTCACGTCACTGTAGCTTCATTACTGTGGACTTTTTGTCTTTTTTGTACAATACAGTGTAGATGCCTTCATATCATACTTGAAAATTCAACACTGAAACACAATGATTGAACATAGGTAGTTTTATGATGAATTAACATGTCTCTGTGTCCGCCGTGTCCAATAAAAAAAACATTGCAAAGTGTAAAATACCCATTTGTATATTGTGTATACAATCTGCTGTAGCCTTTCTTTCTTACCTGTGTTAATATGACAGCATAGACATGGACAGAAGTAAAAGAAACTTGAATGAGTGTAGGTACAAAAATATTTTACAGAAGGCAAGCTATGTCATTTTGTCTTGGCGACAAATGGAATGCCAAAGTGTCTATGTGAACTGCAATGGTTCTTTTATGTAGACTTACTATCTGCGGTACTATTGAACCAAAGTGACATTATATTTGTCCTGTGTTCATTTAAGTCAGTATGTGTTATGAGATTAAAAAAAATTACCCTCAACCAAGGTTGGATGCATATTCTTACTGTAACACATACCTCCTCACCATTCATGCGCAACAGAACAAAAAGTATATATAAAGTAAATATAATGCAGAAGGACAACCAGCCCAGGCCTTCCTCAGCCTGCAGGTTTAATTTTACAAGCCTTTTAATCAGGTAATTTGCAGTATGAGTATCTCACAGTAGCATGTAAATGTACATAGAGGTGTTTCAACAAAGGTCTCATTGTGCTCACTGCGAGTATCTGTGTGAATAGAAGCTCTACAGTTTTTGCATTTAAGGAGACAACATCTCCTATCATGCAGCTTCATGAACTAATCAATATGTGTCTCTCCATTGTGTATTTAGAGTCATACTGTATATTTAAGTTGTGTGTGTGGTTGCACAAGCACACAACAGATTTGGAGTCAGTGATGGTGTCATAGTAAACCATCTTCTTCTCAACCATGAACACTTGGTCCTATTAAAGTTTCCTGTACAGCTTTGGACACTAGAATTGTAGCACGTTTTACTCACTTCACAACTGGTGTATTTACAACAGACACTCCCATGATTCCTCCTAAGAACTGGACTAATATTGGATTAATAAGTAGATAAACCCAGAGTTATGTTTCTACAATATAACAGTAATAGATGATGTCAACACCCGGCACTTCAGTGCTTTTTGGCTTGCACACTGTATGGCATCAGAGGCAAATGCTGTATACCAAGTAGTTAAATCACCAACGTAATTTAAAGCGATAAACATTTTGATGCATTAATAATTATAATCCAATGATACACATTATTTTAAAATATGCCATTCTGCATAGTGAGCACTTTCACTTTTGGTACATTAGGTATACTTTGTTGCTAACACATTTGTACTCACGTATACATTAAAATGCTGGACTGTAACAGTATTTCTACACTATGGTTTTGGTACTTTCACTTAAATTCAAGATCTTTGCACTTCTTCCACCTCTTCTATTAATGCACTTAAACATCACTCATTCTCACTCTTTACATTTAACCAGCTTTATTAAAGGATCAAAATAGTCATTTTATGTCAGTTTTTATAGCAGGCTCATTCTTGAGCAGAGAAATATTGTTGACTGTGTTACTGGGTCCCATAGGAGGTGGCCATCGGCATCTGCTTCATGAAAACAGAAGGAAACAGATCAACTGTGCGGCAATGACTGAACTAAATGTTATATTTAATGCTCATGTCAGCAGTGAAGGATGTAAAATGTGAAGGAGAAGGAGAAGTCACTTACTGATTCTGTCCCCTCAGTCAGATATGTAACTTTCTCTTTGCTGTAAAGATCTTTTTTCCTTGAGCATGTTAACATAAACCAGTCAGCAACCACAGGCACCTGAGGGCAAATATATAAACCACTCAAATTCTGTGTATTGTCCCTTTTTTCAATGCAAGACTAAATATTTCTACTCACCAAACTGAGAAAAGACAAAGCTGCACCCAAGTTTACGATGGTTGGTACAATTCCAAATTTTCCTGCCTGCAAGAACCCCACACTACTATCAATGCAAGGTGAATACATACATGGTTTTGAAGTAAAATCTTAAGATTTACTCGGGCCTCACAGTTCCAAATACAATGACGTTGAATCGGATCCCATATGCTTTGATTAGCATCCTGGTTTCTTCTCCATCTGGTTTCTTGTAGAATTTTGCAAACCTAAAGCAATCATTTTGTCAGTTTTGTTTTCAATTTCATACATTTAATAAGAGGTTGAAAATAGCTTCACCTGAAGTTGTAACCAGGAGCCACGTTATTGACGGGATGTTTGTTGTCCAGCCTCCGGAAGCTGTACGTGGGGTAACATTTCTTTGCCCACCAGTCCAGGTCACAGCTCCAGTCAATAAGAATACCAAGGATGCCCCCCTTTAAAAGTTACAGCATTGTGAAACTAACGATAATAACCAGCTGTACAAGACAGTAGTAACTATGTTTACCTTCACAGCCATGTCTTGAAACTCCTCTCCAGCCTCTGAAACGATGTGTTTGAGGCGGAATATGGGGCAGTCAGGGTCTGTTGCACGATTGAATTCACACCTCTTCAGGTATGAGGAGTTAATGTGAGGCAGTATGTTTCTTCTGGAGGAAGGAAGACACGTGTTTGATGTCCGTGGTGGAATGTAACTAAGTACATTTACTCAAATACTATGAATGGGAACTGTATAAATTTGAGGCACTTTGGTTTTTGCAGCACTTTATACTTTCGTGCCACCACATTTGAGAGGGAAGTGTTCTACTTTTTACTTATGTAATTCCTGTAGTCACTAGTTATTACAGAAAGCAACATTTTTGCACATAACTAATACTAATGAAAGTATACACTAGTTTCTGTAAGTACAGCTTAAATGATTAATCACTAAATCAGTTACTTTACTGACAGAAAATTAATTTGCAACTATTTTGCTCATCGTTAAGGTCATATTTCCAGTATATATAAAAAAAAAAAGGTCATTGGTCCAGCTCCACAAATGGTAAGATTTTCTGCCTTTCTTTATAGTAATTTAATTATTTTATTTTATTCCTGATCATTTATGAGTTGATTAAGTTCTAAATAAACAAAACAAGCACTGTGAAGCTGTAGCGTTAGGCTTCAGGTAATTATAAAAAATAGTTTCTCTCTATTCTCTGAATTTCCACAAACTAAATAATCAATTAATGGAGAAAGTAATCAGCTACATAAATAGTCAAAATACATGCTTTTACATCAATGCATGTGTACAAATGGTCTAAAAATATAATATATAAACACTTGCATTTTCTGTATGAAGCACCTTTTATTTTCAATACTTCAAGTTCATTATCCTGATAAAACTCATCATTTTAAATGCAGGATTTACACTGGCAGCAGAGTATCTTTACAGTGTGGTATTTGTACTTTTACTTCAGTCAAAGATGTGAATTCTTCCTCCACTACTGTTTGATATAATGCCCTACAATAAAAGTGAATATTTGCATGCATAATACTGATAGAAGTTTGTACCTCCACATATTCAGATGTAGCTCACTGACCTTTGAAAGTTGAACTTCGGGTATGTTATGCTGTTTTTGATCAACACAGTGAAGTTCTCTGCAGCAGACAGCAGTGCAGGTCTGTGGGGCAGGAAAACAACATGATAAACTATGTGGTGATTACCTAAAGAACTGTAACTTTGCATATATTCCTACTCAGGCAGTTTAGTGTCGATTTCAAGAGGGCACCAGGAGAGCACTTCACAGGTCTTGACAGTGGTGGAATAGTTCTCACACAGCCCTGTCTGTATACCTGAGAGGGAAATTAATGTCATGTGATATTGTGCAGTATAATGCCACATCATTTACCACTGATGTATTTTCAGACATCCTACCATTGCCCCGAGGATCACTGTGTCCCTCAATACAGTCACAGTCATCCACACAAGTGGTTAATGGGTTTGGTAACTGATGGAGGAATCGACAGTGTTAATGTGAACAGTCACATCACATGAAGTTGTTGCCTGGAGCAGGCTGATCTTCAAACAACAAGACATGACGTACACGAAGACAAGATTAGAAATAAGACAATTTAGAAAAGATAAAAGGTAAAAGTGAGAATTTTTCTGGAGGTTTTTCCATTCATTTTCCTCTCAATATGCTAAGAGTGTTCGGTCTACTGCTGAATTCATTAGTCAACTGATGTATTTGTCAATCCCATCAATATTTTTTACAATTCATCAATTGTTTGCATCATTTATTAATCAAAGATGTCAAACATTCAGTTTCAGCTCTGTCTTATATTGTTGTAGACTGAATATATTTGAGTCTTGAACTGTTTGGTGAAGCAGACATTAGAACTGGAAGCATCACCTTGGCCTCAAGGAAACTGTGAGGACTAGTTTTGTCCATTTTCTCACATTTAATGAATTAAACAATTAACAGATTACTTTTGAAAATGATTAATTGATCAACTAAAAATCAAAGTAAACATGAGCTGCATTCCTAAGATGTAAAACAATGTAATTCAAGCTGAACCCATTATTCAGTACTCTAATATTGTAATGAAATGCCGTGAAATAACAACTTACGCTTATCTGAGTATTATAGCAGTGTTATAGGATATCATGTCAGTGACTCACCTCAGGACAGCGTGACTCAGTCTGTTCAGGGGTGACAACCATGTTTGTCAGCACGAAAAATGAATTATCACCCTGTTAGGCAGAAGAGCAAGAAAAAATATAACAAAGTCCCACTGGGTAGTTCGTTTGAATGTCATGTCATACATACGATGAAAGAAAAGATGAGATGTATGTTTAAATACCTGAGGGGGGATTACATATTCAGCCACATCCCATAAATGTGGTCCAATGTCAGATGTGTTAGTGAAGGCAAAACCTTTCACCTTGGTGGTGACAGTGCTGATGAGGGAGTCTGTCTCCTGATAGGCCTTCTGCACCACACACACATACCTACAGCAGGGTTACAGCATATTATAGCAGCACAGTCAAATCAAAACAGCATTTCATGACCAATTAAGCTTTAGATCAGCATTTTACCAAATCCATACTCATTGCTGTGTCTCAATGTTTTCTCGAGTGGATTTTTTTCATGACTTACCCCACCACATATAGTACCACCAGCAGCTGGGTGAACCTGAAGACACATCCTACACGAATGTTTGGAATAACCAGTGTTTTGGGCGTTTCATAATCAAACGCATAGTGCAAACAGCCCTGGCAGCAGCCTGCAGTCTTGCACATCTCTGCACCATGCTCCAGTGATGGACTGAGCAGTAATGCTGCATGGCCATATCTACTCATTGTATTCAAATCATATTCACAGTGGATGCCTCCCTTTTTAAATGTGAAAGTTAAAGTATGTTTAAACAAACCCTGTACTGCATGGACTAACCATTTTTTGTTTAGCTGTAACTGCACTGATGACTGATGCACTGACTAAAAAAGATTGCAATTAAAGCAATGAAATACTGAAATTCCACCCAACTACAATCTTTATGTAACACCAACCAGACCTGTTAAGTGAGTGGAAGAACACAGAATGTTATTTACCATCCAGTCCTGTGTTCATGAAGTTACTGCTGCTGTGCCATGTGCGTAAATGTGCATATCACCTTCAAATAAAAGAAGCACTTAGACCTACGACCACCTACGTCAATGGAAGGATTGTGTCACCCAGCCAGCTGTGAATGTGTAATGCTATTGCAATACCACAATTTACATTAATGCCTGAAAAATACTTTTGTAAAATTTAGACATTAATATAACACATTTGAAGTCATTCTGAGTTCAATCAACAGGGAATAACTGGGATTACTTAGAATCTGGGATGAAGCAGTTAGGACAGAGACTAATGAGAGTAAAGTGTAACCTGTCAGCAGGCTACAATCAGACTTTTGCTGCTCTAAAGTTGATGTCAGTTCAAAGCATAGGGATCAGAAGTGGGCTCTGCTCTTCAAAAGGTAATGTCCAAAGACGGCGCCACCTATACCGTCCTTGGGGTAGCGCTGTTTTACACCCTGATACAGAGTCCCTCCCTGCTAAAGCCTGCAGTGTTGATCCTCTCTCAGCCCCCCCTGCAGGTGAGATGGGAAATGAAGGGTGTCGCAAAACAGACCACAAGAGGAAGGAAATGCAATAGGGGAACCTTGTTCCAGTGCTTTTAACATCTGCATTTCTTCCTCTCGGGTCCGAACTTCCGCCTGGACCATGCCCCGCCCGGTTCTTACATCTGTGTTTCCCCATCTGTGAAAACGTGCAGAGCCGAGGCCTGTCCACTTGCGCCCAGACTTGGGGCCTCATGTACAAAGGGTGCGTACGCACAAAAACTTGGCAAACGCACTTATCCACGCTCACGTTCAGATGTATCAAGAGTGAAATGAGCGTGGAAATGTGCGGTCCTCCACACCAACCTCTTGACCGGCATACACACGTTTCTATTGCTTTCGAGCCGTTGATGACACTTAGAGGTGATGATAAGAAACTGTTAATAATGTAAAAAAGGTCATTCCTCAAAGTGATGTGCACATCAGAGATACACAGATAAACAATTAACACACCCAGGTGTTTGCAATCAGATGAGTGGATATAAAAGTTTGCATAAAATGGTGCAGAAGATACCGTTAACAACAATGGCAGCTTTGTTGGAGGATATTGCCTTTGGAGCAGTGCCAAGAGAACAGGTTTTCAGAGACCAAGAGGGTTTTTTGGCTCAGAACGACGACTGGCTCATCAGCCGCTTTTGGTTCCCAAGGGCAATCCTCTTAACAACTGTGCACGGAGCTACAACCATTTTTGGAGTGCAACACGGCCAGGAGCCATGTCCTACCTGTGCCCATACAGGTGTTGACCACACTGGGCTTCCTAGCCACAGGGGCATTTCAAAGGGAGCTGGCCGACCGATCGGGACTGTGCCATTCGACAATGAGCCGAGCCATGCCAGCTGTGTGGGATGGAATTATCCAAATGTCAGCCAGGTATATCAAATTCCCATACACTGCAGTTGAACAGGCCGACATCAAAGCGCAATTTGCAGCGAGACTTTAATTGACCCCAGGTGACCGTGGCTACCCACTAAAAACATGGCTGATGACCCCTCTCACCAACCCCCAGACTGACCAAGAACGGAGGTACAATGATGCCCGTTGGCATGCTAAGGGGGCGATGGCCTGGACTGGACTAGGGATGTGCTGCTCTCCAGACCTGAAAAGGTGTGCCGCATTGTGATGGCATGTGGCGTCCTCCATAATATGGCACACCGGCACGCCATCACACTGCCAGAGCAGATCCAGACGCTGTACTTATCGATGCCAGTCCTGCCCGGGAGGCCATTCAGGCCCGGCAACATGTGATGTCAACCATATAAAAAGGCAAGGACACAGAGTTCACTTGTTGACAAGCACATTTAATGTTTTATTAATGCCTGTAAGGACATTAATTAATTGGTCCAGGCGCTTATTAATGCCGCCGATTGCCCTCACGATGTCCTCCTGTGAATCCAGCACAGCATGGGTGAGGACACGGCCGGTCGGACAGGCATCAGCAGCTGACTGCTGCGGCAGACCGGAGATCGGCTGTAGGAATCCCCCCGGTCTGTGGCACGAGGCTGGGACTGCGCCTCACAGTCTTCTCCTGCCTCATTGTCTGCTGGCAAATAACAAACTGAGTAATTAAACATGAGGTAAACTCTTTGATTTTCCATGTTGGTACAGTCAGGTCTTGAATTTACCCAGAAGTTGAGACTTGTCAATCAAGTCAGATCAGCTCAGATCAGACACAAATACAACAGATTAATTTAACAGTATCTGACCAGAACAGATTTCAGAACTACATTTAAATAAATGAAAAGATGACTTCATAGCTGAAGAAACCTCTAACATTTGTCTCATCAGAGAGAAGGAGAGAGAGCAATCAGGTTCAATGAAAGCAACTTTCTCCTCCAAAGATCAGTTGTTTTCTGTGCATTTGAAAGCTAAGGTGTAACCACACATTTGCTTGGGGTTTTTGATGCAAAATCCCAAAATTCAGTCAATTAAAGTAAAACCTGATCATCTTAAATCATCTATCAATCTATTTTCTACTTATCTGTTGTCAGATTGCAGCAAGCCAGTCAATCTAGACTTCCCTCTTCCCAGCAATGCTTCCCAGCTCCTCCTGGCAGATCCCAGAGTGTTTTCAAAAGCCTCATTACGTCTGTCTGTCTGTCAGCAAAGGTACGCACACAGGTCCGCAACACAAAACATTTTTTATGTATTTTGCTTGTTATACTTCTTCCTCATATCGTAGGCTATTTATTACATTTCTTTCAACATTCTCCTTAATTCCCAGGTGTCGTCTTTTTTCCTAAATTTTCAGTACCAAGTTTGCTAAAATCTAAGTCCTCAAATTAAATTAAATTTTTTCAACCATAGCAGCTTTTTTTTGTTAACACACTCTACACATTTCTGTGGACTTTTCATACAGTAAAACTCCAAGAATACAATAGTGTCATACAAACTGTGGTTGTAGAGCAGGCCATGAAAAATTCTGCTACTTCACAAACTTTAAATTCCACATACAGCACATAGTGTTGATGCACCTACACAGATCAGTGATGTGATAAAACTGCAATAGTGTTATTAACAATTGTTCAAAGTAAATCAAGTTCGCTTTTTTTCATGGTACTATAGTTGAAACCAGAAGTTTACATATACTGTATAAAAAGACATAAAACCTTTTATTTTCTCACTGCCTGACTTTAAATCAGACTAAAATGTTCCAGTTTTAGGCCAATTGGGATTACTAAAATAATTTCTATTTGCTAAATGCCAGAATAATGAGAAGAAGATTTTTTAAATCACTTTCTTCAAAGTCAGAAGTTTACATACACTAAGATGACTATGCCTTCAAAATATTTGGGAAAGTCCAGATGATGATGTCATGGCCTTTTGAGTAGCTTTTGATAGGTTATCTGACAACATTTGAGTTAACTGAAAGCACACCTGTGGATGTATTGTAAGGCACACCCCAAACACACTGCTTCCTTTTGTGACAACATTTGAAATCTAAAGAAATCAGCCAAGAGAAGGAAGAGAAGTGTAGACCTCTGGTTCATCCCTGAAGGTTCCACGTTCATCTGTTCAAACAATTATATGTAAGTATAAACACCATGGGAATGTCCAGCCATCATATTGCTCAGGAAGGAGACGGGTTCTGTGTCCCAGAGATTAAGTGTTTTGGTGTGAAATGTACACATCAACCTGAGAAGAAAAGCAAAAGACCTTGTGAAGATGCTGCTGAAGCTGGAAAGAGATTATTATAAAGTCATTATTCACAGCAAAACGAGTCCGGTACCGACATGGGCTGAAAGGCTACTCAAAAAAAGCAACATAAAAAAGCCAGATTAAAGTTTGCAAATGCACACAGGGACAAAGACTTTAATTTTTGGAGACATGTCCTGTGGTCTGAAAAAACTAAAATTATGCTGTTTGATCATAATGACCATTGTTACATTTGGAGGAAAAAAGGGGAAGCTTGCAAGCCTGAGAACACCATCCCAACTGTGAAGTAGGGGGGTGGCAGTATCATGTTGTGGGGGTGTTTTGCTGCAGGAGGGACTGGTGCACTTTGCAAAATAGATGGCATCATGAGGAAAGAACATTATGTGGAAATATTGAAGCAACATCTCAACACATCAGCCAGGAAGTTGGGCACAAATGGGTCTTCCAAATAGACAATGACCCTAAGCATACAGCCAAATTGGTTACCAAGTGACTTAAGGACAACAAAGTCAATGTTTTGGAGTGGCCATCACAAAGCCCTGATCTCAATCCTGGAGAAACTTTGTGGGCGGAGCTGAGAATGCGTTTGCAAGGAAAGGCAGCTGACAAACCTGTTCCACCAGTTCTGTCAGGAGGAATGGGCCAAAGTTCCAGTAAACTATTGTGAGAAGCTTGTGGAAGGAAACCCAGATGTTTGATCCAAGTCATACAGTTTAAAGGCAATGCTACCAAATACTAAGGAAATGTATGTAAACTTCTGACTTTGAAGAAAGTAATAAAAAAAATATCTCTCTCATTATTTTGGTGTTTAGCAAATAGAAATAATTTTGCCAATCCTAACCAATGTAAAACAGAAAAAGTTTGGTCTGATTTAGTATCATATAGTGAAGAAAAAAAGGTCATGTGTCTTTTTGTACAGTGTATGTAAACTTCTGGTTTCAACTGTATGTGTACTGTGAAACCACATTTTCCATCAACATTATTTAAAGTTTCCATGTATATGTGCATGAGTTTCATCCAACTTTTCATTTATTTTAACCAAAATCATCTTTCAGTCCACAGACATCACTGTTGTCCATACCATGCTGAGTCAGAGCACAAGCAGAAGTTATACCTGCTACTGAACTAACACTTCCATGTATTACTGTAAACCCACTTATTGTCTTTATATGCATTTCATGTGTGTGTTGTCTGCATGATCTGCTGAAGTGAAATCACATCACATCACAAATCTAACCAAGACTTCAAATATTAGTATTTAAATATAAGTATTTGTCTTTCAAACTGCAACCCTCCATACGACAGACAACACAGAGGCTTACTTTTGTACAATCAAAAATATGCCAGCATGCCTCAAACCCACTCCTTTCAAGGATTCAAGGATTCAAGGCCTCTATTGGTCACGAACACAGTCATAGTATAATGCGCAGTGAAATGTGTTGTGCACCTGTTCCACATAAGATGTGTGTGTGTATATATATATATATATGAATACATATATAGAGAGATAGAAATAAGCAAAAACAAAAAAAATAAATAAATCAAATAAATAAACCTACCTTCTTTTAATTTTCTTCCATTAGTGAAATATATATATATATATTGCTATTTAAAGATGAGCAACCATTATCAATCAAGAAAAAAAAGAAGTGAAAACTGACTGCATCTAGTGGTGGGGTGCTATTGTAAATTCAGCCATAAACACCCTGCAACAGAAATAGATCAATACATGTCACTTTTACTGTTCATGTTGTATTTAAAGTGGAGACAAGGGCAGCCTACATATAACATTAATCAGAACATACAGTGAAGTAGAGGTAAAGTATTAGAATTTTTTTTTTTTTAAACGCACCACACTATAAACTTATGAGTCCGCCTCACCGCACGGGGGCAGCACAACGGCAGCTGCCACCTCCACCAAACAGCAGCAGCCTCTCAGTCTGCTAGCAAACAACTGAGAAGTGAGATGGGGGAACATCTCTGGCTGAAGTGGCAGCAGGAAAACTTGCTATAATAGAGTTTTTCTAACCCTTTTCCTTGGTATTTGTTTAGTTTAGTGATAATTACATGTCTCGCCGTCGTGTGCGTCGACGAGCTCGCCTCGCTGGATAAGCAGAGAATCTGCCTGTGGACCAGTAAACAGTGTTAGCCTGGGAGCTAAGCTGGCAGCTGTGCAGCTAGTTGCTTCTAACTAGTTAGCATCGATGAGGAAAGACGTCCCCGCCTTCATTGTAAACAAGACTGAGCAGCTGCTCTTGAGTTAGCTTGCGGCTGGTCAAGGAAAGAATACAACAGAATGACAGGTTAGTGACACGACCAGATGTTGACAAGTTCTCTAAGTAATTGATAATAATGAGCTAACGTCCTTTTTAACAGCAGTTTTTAATAGCATTAGTTTGTACGTTTCACGTTACGGCCAAGTAGTTTTGTACTGTGTAATAGTAACACTGTGGTTTCCTCAGAGGATGCTGTCCTGTTGAATGTACCTGTCATTCGGCAGCTGTACCACTGGGACTGTGGCTTAGCCTGCTCCAGGATGGTCCTCAAGTAAGTGCAAGTTAAAGTCGCTGCCTTCTGAAATCATAGTTAAGTGTTCATCCAGTTTACAGCGTAAACAGTGTAAGGGTCTTCTTAATGTGTACAGACATCACCATAATAGTTATACTACCTCCACTAACTCTCTTTTTTAATAGTCCAACATGGGTGCACTACAGTTAGCACTCACTGATTTACAGTCTCTAACTGTCTAATCATGCAGGTTCCTCCATCCAGTCAGTGATGAAGAGTTTGAGCGAGCGTGCTGGGACCTGAAGCTGACAGAGAGCGTGTGGACTATTGACCTGGCCTACCTCATGTGCCATCTTGGAGTCAAACACTGCTTTTGCACACAGACTCTGGGTGTAGATAAGGGCTTTAAAAATCAGGTACCTTTCACAGTCTAAGCTATCTCTATGACTTTAAACAGATGTGATTAGTTTTAGCTCGGTATGTAGTAATAGTGTCTTTGTCATCTTTTATTGTGTTTTGCAGTCCTTTTATAAGAAGCATTTTGATACAGAAGAAGACAGAGTGAACGAGCTCTTCCTTAAAGCAGAGAGTAAAGGTGTGGTGGTGAAGAAATGGTGAGTTTTCTGTTAATTATTATCCACTCGCCAGCTTTTGCCTCACACAAAATAAATGTAACACCTGAAATGTGTGCGTGCTTATCTTCTCTTAGCTCTGTGACCGTTCAGGAAATCCAGTCCCATCTGGAACAGGGCCATGTTGCCATCGTGCTGGTCAACGCTGTGGTCCTGACGTGTGAGCTGTGCTCCTCACCTGTCAAATACTGCTGCTTCCTGCCTGTGGGCCAGAAGTGTTTCTGCAGGAAGCCAGAGTACCAGGGGCACTTCGTTGTTGTTTGTGGCTTCAACAGGACCACTGGCTGTATCTTTTACAACAACCCTGCATATTCTGACCGTGAGTAGTCTCTTATGTCCAAAGGACAAGCATGATGTGGCTAAGTGGTATTTGAATTTAAATATAGTTATAGAATAAGTGGTTGACAGCAGAAAACTGCCACTCTTATAACAGTCTAAATTAGATATAATATCAGAGGGCATGATATTAATTCCATAAGACTGTGTCACAAGTTAGATGTCCTGGCACTTTCTGGCACCTTTCACCATAAAAAGGGATTTTTTTCTCTTATTTAAGTAGTGATGAAACAATGTGGAGTAATCAACAGGTTGACTGACCACCAGCTTTTATATACATTCAATTGTGTAAGGCAGGAGAAAAAAAATATTAAACATTTGCAGGTTCTAGTTTCTCACAGCAGGTTTTGCTGGTTTTCTGAATTTAATATGAATTTAATATGTTTTAATTAACAAATTTAGCCTCTGGCTAAATTAGGCTTTTGCACAAATGTATTAAATATGAAGAAATCTCCTTTGGGCTCTGCCAACTTGGAATAGACATTTTTAACTCATCTCAGACATTTAATAGGGTCAAAAACTCACTAAGTAATCTATAAAATTAGCAAATGAATTCATAATTACAATTATTCAGTTTCAGCCTTGGATTAAACAATATTTTAGTCCATTTTGTTCAGTAGTTCCAAATTAATAGTTTTGTCAGCAATTTCAACTTTACAGTCACAAACTTTTACTGAATAGATGCATTCAAAATTACTTTTCGGAATAATCAACCACTGACATTATTATTATTATTATTAAAAATATAATTTTGACTGATGATTCAAAATGGAACGGGGCCCTGTGTATCGAGTTGGTTCTGTGCATCTTGTTGAATTGGCTCCTGGGGCTTTTGGAGGCCATGTCAGGTCAACGCACCAAACTCTTTGTCAAGGTCTTTAAGCTTTTCCTGAGTTTCTGCGATGTGGCACATAGTCCATGTTGTTACCATGGGGACGGGGTGCTTGGTCTGCACCAATGTTTGTGTGGGTGTCAGAGTCACATCCGTGTGAATGGCAGGACCCAAGGTTTCCCAGCTGAACATTGCATTTTAATGAGGTGATCTGTGTTATACACTTTACCTGTGAGTTGTGTTAATGTTGTGGGTGATCAGTGAATGCACAGAGTGGTTTAAACTAAATGCTGTTCATATGCTAACATAGCCCCAGTGGCAGTACTCTGGTAAGATGATCAGTTTAGCAGGTATCATTATTATCATAAATACAGACATAGTTTAGTGTGTTTGTATGCCAACATCAGCATTCAGCAAATTACCACGAAGCAAAAAGTAGAGCTGAGAATAATGAAAATGTGATTAGTTTTGCAAGTGTTTTGTGATAAACTAAATAGACAAATTCAAATGTTGACCAGAAGATAATGCTGGATGAAAAGTTCAGGAATCAAAAAAGTGGTCAAAAGTTATCATAAGGGAGACATTTGTACCAAATTTAATGGCAAAGCAACCAACAACAGATGTGATACTTCACTCAAACCATAAATGACAACCCATGGTCACATTAGAGAACAAGTCAGGGGGTCACTTAGGTGGTAATTTGCTAAAGGTTTAACCCTGTGGATGGCAATTCATGTTCGTGGAGACACCCCAAAGTTGCTATCCATAGAGCTAAAAATTGAAAGAACATCAACTCTGACTCTGGCATTACTGTAACAGTTATAATGTCTGACTGCTAGAAACAAGTGAAATGTTCAATTCGGAACTGACAGAAGTGTGTTTGTTATTCAGGGGTGTGCTGCACCAGCATCAGTAACTTTGAGGAGGCCCGAAGGAGCTACGGGACAGATGAAGATATCCTGTTCATTTTCAAGGAGAGTTGATGGACAGAGAAGATGGATTTGGACTTCGTCATTATATTAACATCATTATGCTGCAGGTCTCCAGTCTAGTGGTGCCTCCTGTTGTCTGCTGTCACAGAACCCCTGGGTTATTCTGTCTGGAGTTAAAAACACACACACACACATATATATATATATACATATATACATATACGTATGTATGCCAATACTACTCAACCTTTGAGGGATTCGCGGCTCGAAGGTTCAGCAGTCTAAGATGGATTTTCATTCTTTTCTTTTCTTGAAAAGAGCGGATTGTTCAAATTAATTTTATAATGTCTTGAATTTTAATGACTGCGGTTGCTCACGGACTGAAATGCCAAACTGTGAGCAGAAGAATTGAGACTCATGAAACAGTGGATGAAATGTGGGAAACATGACCTAGAATAGGAATTACCAGGAAATAGTGTGCACATAATTCAGGGCTGCTGACGACAACATATAGTGTATTCAGTATATTTGTTCTGCTCAGTGTTGTGTGATGCTGCTCCTCTGTAGACCCCAGCCCCACCTCTACTTGCCTTTTAAAAATATACCTAGCTCACCTCTCAGTCACTTTTTTATTCAGATGATTCTATCAAGAAGGAATCCAGGAAGTGAAGTGTTTTGAGAGTCTCAGGTAATTAATGTGATATCAGATGACAAAGCTCGTTCAATGCAATACTCCGTAGTCTGTCTGCGGAACTCAGTCTGCCGGCAGAAGAACACCAACATGGACACGGTGAAACACAAATTCACTGGTTTCATTCACTTCACTGGAGAAACAGTTCAACATCTTGTGTTGTGTTGCCATGGAAACTTGCTGGGTAGATGGATGCATTGTTGGATGACTCATGCTCTGTTGAAATCAGTGAAGACAAGGTAATCTCATATTCACTCAGTTTTATTTTTAAATTTGGTGGTATGTATGTTTTTGCACTACACTTTTCATACCAGATATAATTGTGTTATTTAAATTAAAATGCTTTTCTAGATCTATAAAAAAAAAAAAGTCATTTCCCTCTGGTTGTGCTTTTTGGTGAGATCAAATGGCAAGTTTTAAACTGCGACCTTTATTTTTTATGAAACATAGAACTGCCTATATTATATGTTGTGATTAAAAGATTTGAACATGTACATCATGATTTTTTTTTCTTTCACCTTTTGTCTTCCAAACATATTTCTATTCATTGTGATCGAACAGCTCAATCTTTGATCTGACCACAGAACTTTCCTCCAGAAGGCCTTTTCTTTGTCCAGGTGATTAGCAGCGAACTTTAGTCAAGCTTTAAGGTGCCGTTTGTGGAGAAAGGAATTCATTCTTACACAGCAGCCTCTCAACCCACGCTGTTGTAAAAACAAAAACAAAAAACTTGACTGTGGACACTGACAGCTGTGTTCCAGCAGCCTCTAGTTCAGACCTGCTTTTTGGTGATTCTTAGTTGATTCTTAAACCATTCTGACCAACTGTCTCTCAGCAGCAGGTGATGGATTGTGTTTCCTTCCTGATTGTGGCAGTGACACAACTGTACCTTGCACTTTATACTTCCAAACAACTGTACAGATGATTTGGGGGATTTATAGCTTTTTGAAATGGCTCCAAGTGACTTTTCTGACTTGTTCAAGTCAGGGATTTGCTTTTTCAGATCTTTGCTGAGCTCCTCAGACTTTCCCATTGCAGTGTTTTTGGCTGAGTCTAATGAGTGGATCAAATGAGCCCTATTTACACTGACTCAGAGAAGTCAGCAGCTGGTCATACCACTACAAAAATTTAATAAACACAGCTTTCTACATCAACAAAACTGTACAAGTTGTATGTATATTTTTGAACCAGCAGACTTTGTCATATTTCCAGGAGACCGATAATAAATCTATGAAAGAACCAATATGCCTAATTGTTTTGTTTGTGTGCGTATGAGAGAGAGAGAGAAAGAGAAGGTTTCATAGATTCCATCATAAAAAAATTGTGTTGTAGGAGTCACTATCAAGGCCGACTTAGGGTGAAGGCAGGGGACACCCTAGACAGGTCACTAGTCTATCACAGGGATACATTTCCACCATATTGTGATTTCCAGCCAATGTTAAAGTCCTGCATTCATTTTATCTACACTATTAGATTCATGGATAATCAAAACATACCTTTAACATTTCAATTAACATTGATTTCATTAATAACAAGCTGACGGAGTGATGAACGGTCGTTCTGTACTCTAAAATATTTTGTACATTTATGTTATTTCTGCAGTTGCTTACTGGCTTTAAGCTGTTAGCTAACACGATGCTAGGTTGGCATAACTACAGTGATGTTATTGCTAACATAACCAGGCAGGCAGTAACTTATGCTAGGTTAGCACAACTTTAGCAATGCAACAGAAACTAAATGCATGACCAGCGCAACAAAGTATGCGTCAGTCATCATGACACATGGCAAAGAGAGTTAAAGTGAAACAGGAGACATGTTGAGTCATTGTTAATGTCACAACGTCGTTACGAACTTATCTGTCAGAAGCTCTGCTCAGCCCACTCCTGTAATGCTGCCTGGCTGTAGCTTACTCAGGTACTGCTGAGAAGTACCCCCCCCCCCCTCCATTAACCAGTTTTCCTGTTATGTCCCGTCCACACTAATAACTATAGAGATCACTATACAGATGTGTGCGCCCACACTGACCAACGTTACCATTCTGTAAACATCAGTGCTGAGCAGCTACCATGTGCTCCAGCTGCGTATAAGCTCCGTATTCATTAATAGAAAAGACAAGAAATATACGTGTGACAGTTTTATATTTCACCCTCCATTTAGAAGAAATGGCTATTTTGAAGAAAGAACCACAACTTCCAGCAGCGTTACAATACAACATGATTGGACACTGGGGTTTACAACTAGGGTTGTGTTTTTGTATTAAGAAACTAAAATAAACAGATTGAAGTACTAACAAATGTGCTACTGTTAAAGTATAAGACGTGTAGTATGAAATAAGTGTGAAAGAGTACATCGTATTGTGGTATTTTGGGGGTTTTTATTACACTGGCAGTGTTTGGGGGAAATTTGCGCTCATTGCAAAGGCAACCCTGTTAGCGTCGGCGCGCAGCTTGTTGTAGACCCAGAAGAGATCCGTCCTACATGATCTGTCATGTTTTTGTGTGTACAGTAGGTGGCAGTAATGCACCTGAATGTTGGATGCCAACTGTCAAATCAGCAGCTATGCTAGGCTAGGCTAGTAGCTAATGTAGCCAGCCTCGACAAGCTAGCTAAAAGCTGCACAAAGTTCCAGATACCACCGCTGTCCTCTCAGCTACAATAGTCGCCGTTTTCCTACATGTGTCCGTCTTTTCATAGCTGTGTTTGTTTACAGAGAAATGAAAGTAACGACAAGCATGTAGCCCAAACACAGTAAAAGCACTTAAATTTTTATCACAAATAAACAATAATAGGTATAAGCGTTATCACTGGGATCACTTTCACAGCGATCTCAGAACAGCTTCTCTCTGCCTGGATATATTTCTTGTATTTTCTATTTATGAATACAAAGCTTATAGTAGGTGGAGCACACGGTAGCTGCTTAGCGCCGGTGTTTACAGAGTGTTAACGTTGGTCAGTGTGGGCGCACACATCTTTATAGTGATCTCTATAGTTATTAGTGTGGACGGGCCACAACAGGAAAACTGGTTAATGCCTGACTGTTGGAAGAAAAGAACGCCAAAAACATCTCAGTATATGCGCTGTCTGATAGGGGAAAAACATGTCCCAGACACAAAAGTTCATTCCAGTTGAAATGTATTAGTTTGAAATTAGTGCTGGGGAACACGAAAAAGTTGGGCGAATCATGTCCACGAAACAATAGATTAAAATTCGTGACTTTTCTACGAATTGCCGTGAGACTGGGTTGTTCTGGATGCTGCTGTGGTGTGTTAATTTTGCCCAATGGGGGATCAATAAAAAATATTCTATTCTTTTCTAGATACAATTGGGGGGAAAAAGTATAAAAACTAATTATCAAAATGAAATGATTCCATTTATTCCTTTCAACCTTGGGTAGATACCCTGATACCCTGACTGCACATCACTGCCTATGATGTAGTTTTAAAAGCACTTCCCATCTGTGAAATTAAAACCTAAACTCTTATTTGCAGCTGATCAGTACTCCAGAATTTGTGAAACTAGCAGTTAATAAAAAATGTTCTATCCAGCTGCTTTAATAAAATAGGTTTCATTGGTGTGACAAAAGGAACACTTGGTTCTCAGTCACAGTTTCAAAGTAAATTGTCAAGAACTCTGTGTGGTTGTGCTAAAAACAGTAACTGAGAAATCATTTAGTCATTAAAAGTCATCATCCAGATAACTCAGTGAAACAGGCAGTTTAATTAATAAGAATAGAAATGCAAGCTTCCCTAGTTCCCTGGGGAATCAATCAATCTGACAGACTTTGGTACGGAAATAAACACACAATATCTGCTGTGTTCAGGCAGAAATGGATTATGATAATGTGCAGTATATGTGGAATATGTTCTATTCTTTGACTATTTTGGGTTTGAAGTCGTGTCTAGCAGCCTTGGTGAGTTCCTCTGCATACTCTGCATACCGGCCAGTCATCTGCACAGAAGGGTACAGAGAACATTAGACTTTGCATCAATATACAACCACCCAATCATTGCAGGAACAAATACACACACAGCATCTTCGAGCCACTGCCTCTTTAAATTGAATGAATACATTGGAGTGACAGCATTGGTAGAAACTAAGTGGGTACATTTAATTTTGGGCAATTCAGATATACTTGTGCTTTACCTGAGTACTATCTTTTAATGCCACTCATGTAGTGTTACTCCACTGTGTCTAAGAAGGGAACCTTTTGAGGACCTGATTAAACTTCCTGACAGCATAAATGATCTAGGCTGCACTGACCAGTCAAAATGAACAGGGAGCTATTTTGATAATCAAATTCCAAACAAATCGTAGCTCCAGCTCATGCATTGCTGAATTTACCTTAAAACTCCATTTGTCACTGATTTGTCTGTTCAGGTTGAGATCCATTTCTACAACCAGCAGTCCGTCTCTGGTCCTCGACAGCCCCGGGGTGCGGCTGCCGTCAGGAGCAGCCACATAACTGGACCCATAGAAATGTCCAAAATCGTGGTGAGCTGCACAAACCAGGAGAACAGTCTGTAACTGATGACTAGTCTGATGACACATGTTCAACGAGTGCATTGTGAAGACACATTCTTATCTAAATAATTAGTCAGCAACAGTTTACTGCTCATAGTTGCAGGATCATAATGCCTATATTCACTTCACTATACGATGACTATATTCCCAATGACTAGAGGGCCCTCAGTAGAGGGATATAGTTGCCCCTGCCGGCCATGATACGGCATTTTTGAAAACGTGATCTTTGACCTGTAAAGAAGCTATTTTGCACTGATTGACCCCAAAATCAAATCATTCCAGGGGGAGGACATTCCTAGCTCGCCTGCCAAATATCAACTAGTTAGACCTTAGCACTCAAGATAGAGACTGTTCACAGATGGACACACAGACAGATGGGATCGATTACTCTATAGTTGCCACTTGGTCAGGGGCGACTATAATAAATGATATATTATTCAATTTAAGGTAACAATTCTCTTACCTTTTTTTCCATCACCGGATGTGAATTCACTTTTAAAATGTTCCTGCATAAAACATATTTTTTTTTACATGATGACATATGTTGTAATGAATCAGAACCCTGTTATGAGCTGTGTGTATGTTTGCAATCGACTTACTGTTCCAACACGGTTGATGGCACAAGTAAAGCAGTGGTTAGCTATCGCTGCATTCCTGGCCTCTATTGACCACATCGGCTCACTGCAGGGAGGAAATTACATTGTTGATGATGTGTATATAACAGTTTATAATAACAGCAACAGCAACTCTACTGAGCCCCTCCAGAAGCATGATTTCTCTATGTGGCAGTTATTTTGTGATCGCTTGAAAATTTGTTTCTGAATATGTGCACTGCTAAAGCATGTCATAATCTATAATAATAAGGGTTGGCTCTGTGGCCACAAGGATTCTGGTGCATTAAATTCTGTTAAGTTTGGGTGGTGAGGTATTACAATACAGTCTAGCCGTAGCAGTGCAATATTGCAAAATACTACAAAACAGGTGTACATGGAGAAATATCAGAGGTGCCATTCCCTGTATCACAAGTCAGTGTACCATCAAAATGATTCTGATGCTGTTATATTAAGGGGAAATGAAAATATATAAATATAAATATACACATAATCTAAACAAAGAATATATAAACACAGAAAAAATGCTATGCTATGACAGGCAACCACACATCATCATTAGAAAATGTGCTCAGAATCAGAACTAAACTGACTAAATTTGCTATTATTACTTCTACTTTTTCTAGTGTTAATGTGTGTTGTAGTTCTGTGTGGGATTTTTCCAGGTGGTACAACCTATGTCAGTGGCTCTCCATTGAATGTATTAAAAAGTGGCTCACACGTTTTGTGTAAATTTAGGTTCCATTAATGTTCCAGTGGCAAGTTACATGGAACAGACAAACATTATCATTAATATGCCATTTATCACTGAAACTGTAATTGTGGGGATAAATTATATTTTGCTTTAAACAGTTTGTGTAATTGTGATTTTGATTGCACTTTCTTAATCCCTAGTTGCTGCCATTACATCAATGAAATAAGCAGCACACAAGACAAAAATAACAATGAATACAGTACATTATGGACATGTTGACTCCATGGTTATGGCCTTGAGTAATTTAATTACCACAAAGCAGCAAGGAGAGAATGTGAAGAATAATGTACACACTTGGGTTTGTAATATTTTTGTCCTTCAGCCCATCCAGCAGGTTTATACAGCTGTGCTACATGTAATAAGTGCTCTAGCTGTCTAGCTGTCCCTTACCTGAGAGCTCCAACAGTAGCCGAGGGGTTAAAGATAATCTCAGCTCCATTCATGCTGTACATGAACCAGTTGAGAGGGTGATGACGCCCGTAGCAGATATTCACAGCAATCCTCCCAAACTGTGTCTGGAACACTGTGTGGCCGGTGTCACCCTCCATGTAATACGTAGACTGAGGGTAAAGAACAAAACACAGTGGGCACGTATGTTTTTCAATCTCTCCACAGTGAATCTTACAGATCGTCCACTAACCTCGTTAAAGTCTCCAACCCTGGGAATATGGTTCTTCCTGCTTTTTCCCAGCACATTTCCAGAGTTGGAGATGACCACCGCTGTGTTCCACAGAGTGCTGTGTAGCTCCTCTCTCTCCAGAATGGGAGAAACAACTACCATGTTGTATTTTTTGGCCAGCTAATGACAGAATTACAGAATCATTCAGTTTGGGATCTGCAGTGAATCTTATCAGCTGCACCATGACAAACCTCTGTAATGTCACCTCTTGACAGAAACGTGTGGTGTTTCCTTCCTCAGCAGACTCTGCAAACTCCGTCCATGGGTCTTTCTCACGGGTGCAGAAAGCAAAGGGCATGGCTGTGAACAGAAAAATGCTCTCTTATAGCTCATTTGTAATGTGTTTTTTTTATGGATTTATGAATCTTGCAGCACTCACTCCAGGTCTCCTGAAAGCAGATGATGTTCACACCACACGTGGCCGCTACCTCGACAATTTCACCAATTCGGTTATGCATGGCAGTGATCTGTAAAGAGAGGACAGTGAGAATGTTTTTATACCAATCACTTTATCCTAATGTGGATGGCACACTACTCAAGAACTGCAAATATGTTTCATTTTAAGGTGCTCAGTCTTTATTTTTGTCTAACTGGGGCCACTGGTTTAGATGATCTGGTTGTCATTCTCTCACAGAAACAACAGTTAGGGACATGTTGAAAAAAGTGCCACCTCATCCTTCTAATTAATATAATACTTTTTACACACTTTTGTATGTACTTACTTTAATGGAATTGTATATGCAAGACTTTTACTTGCAATGAAGTACTTGACTTTGTGATATGATGCTTTTAGTTTAATTGCTTCTCCAAATCGTTCTGCTTTACATCATCAACAGTTCAAGAGTTCGTAGGGTCTTCGCCTTACTTACTTTGTTAAGCACTGTGAAATGACATATGTTGTGAATTTTTATATAAAAATAAAATTGAATTAAATTGAACTGAAAACATTAAGTCTTTCAAATGTCTCTGCATTTGATCTGTTT